CCCCAAAACCCCAAAACCCCAAAACCCCGCAAGGGTACATTAAAAAAGCAATAAGCTTAAATGACAGTTTAGAGGTTAAATAGATTTGTTATTCTAATATGTCTTAGTTATCTAATTTACTTATTATAAATCGAATTAAGTGTTAATGGACAAAAACAGTAAAAGATAAGATTCTGATAATAGCTTGAGTAATGATGATGAGCATACAACTACATTTCTTATCCAAAAGATTTTAAAGCATCAGTTAGCAGACTTCCAAAGGGAATTCACTCAGAAATTGAGAGAGGACTTCGATGTCAAAATCACCTAGCTCTAGAAAGAGAATAGCAAAATTGTATCTAAGCTAAACCCTATTGCCAATGAGTTCAGTTCAATAAAGCAAATTGGAAAAACGCTTCCTGCCTCAATTGTTGATTACATGATGGAGTAGACATAACTCAACGAAAAACTAGAGAAAATAAAGGTGGACTATGTAACTAGAGAAGATTTAGGTCTCTATTTAGCAACCCAAGACTATACAACGTTCAAGGATTTAAAGGAAAATAGGGAGGAAGTTAATATTGAAATTGAACAGATTAATTAGAAACTCTCAGATAATGACTAAAACAAGAAGTAGATGGGAACTGATATACATATTATAAGAAATCTCTTTTTAGACAAAGCAGATGTTAAAGAAATAAGGAACCTAGAGAAGCAGATGGCTGAGTTGGCGCCTTGGGAAGCTATTAAATCCATTTACTCTGAATTAGGTTCATTAGTCAAGAAAGATTTGTTTGAGATGCATAAAAATGATTTCACTCATCACTTCAAGCGCATCGATGAAAGACTTGCCCAGACCCCTTATAAATAGGAAACAATGAGTGAGATAGAGAGAATGTGTGAGAATCTCAAGAATGAGATGTCCTCTAACTACTTAAGTCTTAAAGAATACCAGAAAGACTAGAAGGAATATAATGCTTAGCAGAAAAAAATCAAGGAGGAACAGTCAGAATTCAAGAAAACTTTTACTAAGGAGGAAACTGAAATAAATAGCATTAAGAGAGCTCTCCAGAATAAAGCAGATGACTCAGATTTTAAAAGTCTCAAGAATATGACTGATACACATGCAACCAAGAATGATCTGTGGAAGCTAGAATAAAATGTTTACCCCAAACTGTCCTCATTTGAGAATGAATTCATAAGATTTTCTTTAAAAGCTAAGCAACATGATGAAATTATTAGGAGATATGATGAGATCATCACTGAAAAAGCCTCTAAATGGAGTTTGAATGAATTTAAGTAAGAGGCTGATGAGACATTCACAAAGCTAACCTAGACTTTATAAGTGTAAAACCATATCAAGATGCTTGAAAATAAGATTTAAGAAGTGCACAAAAATGCGATTGACTAATTCGATGCAATCAATAGAGCATTTTCTTATGAGATATTGAGTGCAGTAAAGAAAGTTCAAAAGTAGCAAAATTTAAGTCAGGGACCTGGTTAATTGGAGAGTAACTTCCATATAAAGACTCTACTAAATATGAAAGCAAACTAATCAGATGTGGAGCATTTACATGAGTCTAAATCAAGTAAAGCTGAAGTCTCAGATATCAATAGGGCTCTTATTTAAGTAGCCAAACAGACAAAACATATGATAGTTCTATTCGTTGAATTTGTCCGATCATCCTTTCATAACCCCTCAGAGACTTCTTTAAATCGAGAAAACAAAAAAAAACTTCTGCTTCAATAATCTAATGCTCTAGCAAAATGGGTATTGAGATTTGATCCAAATGCTGTAGATTAATAATAATTAGATAGTGAAGAAGACTCTAGGGCAATGGAGTAGTATACTAATACTTTGTTAGTCGATTCAGTTTTGACATCAAGTCACATTTCTACTCTAATTCATAAGATCCCTCAGATATCTGGGATCAAGAATAAGACCTACAATGCCAAATAGTTTGTAACAGTGAGTGAGATGTAACCGAAGAATAAGTTGGGTATATTTGCAAATCGCAAGAATTCTTGTAACAATACTTACATTAGTGATGTTTCTCTTAATAACAGAAGCCTAGCCTCACCCTCATAGATGAGTATCAAAGAAGACTCTGCTGAGTATTAACTGGCAAAATAGAACATTAATTCAACTTTATCTAAGATTGATAAACCTTGGCTCAAACTTAAACTCAATGATCAACATAATTTTAACTTCACCTCTTCACTTTCGTAAGATCATAAAATATTATAACAATATATTTAATAGACATCAAACAAGTCCAAGGTAGGTATCAAGTCGTAGATAAAAAGTATCTTAAAGTTAATAGAGGAAAATTTAGTATTTTGATCTCACTCTAAATAATAAGACTCAAGCAAATAGATCAAGATAAAAAGTAAAATATTAAAAAAGCTTTACTTTTAATAATAGGATCGACCTACTAAGGATTATTTATAAAGACAGGAATAGGATCTTCCTTCAATAAATCAAAATTGATTTATTAAAGGCATCAGTTTGAAAAGAAGTTATGTAATAATAATAATAGCAAGAATTGATAAATTTATATTAAATTTGATTTCATCAATAAAAGCAAATTTCTAATAAGTGGGGTTTTGGGGTTTTGGGGTTTTGGGGTTTTGGGGTTTTGG